AATACCTTAGACTTATCATATTTCTTCTTAAAATAGAGCAATAAACTACAGGAACCCCCTAAGCAAGAAGAATACATTGTCTTGAATTGAAAACAATAACTGTCCTTACAAGCTTTCTTACGGTTGTTTCTCTTGGATCCTTCCCTCTAGCAGGTCCTTCTCTCTGATCTCTAGGTATCCTGTCCCTTTCTAGAATAGCAGCACCACGAGGGCTGTATCACCAGCACTAGGACAATGCCTAGCACATAATAGGTGGTCAGTAAGTAGTTGTCAATTGAACTAAACAAATAGATGAATTCATGAATTAGCTCATTGCTTTTCCTGCTAGAAACTAGAGATTCAAATTATCCCAGAAAAGGAAGAGCCAGTAATCTGGGCAGGATTACCGATAGTGTTTTTCTAAAATGTCATAAGGTGAGGCTTTTTCAACAATGCATCAGTCTAAAAATCATACTTTTTAAAAAAATTAATTAATTAAGGCAGCTGGCCAGCTTGGGGATTCATGTAATTAATTAATTTATTTTTTGGCAGCTGGCCAGTACAGGGATCCCAACCCTTGACCTTGGTGTTATCAGCACCATGCTCTCCCAAGTTAGCTAATCGGCCCTCAGGAATAGCACTTCAATCCACAGAAAGCCCAATTATGTGGCAGAGTCAGGTGCTTTACGATATTATAGTTATCAACAAGGCCAGATGGACCTCTGAGAGGAAGCCATTGGAGTACCCAGGCAGGTGGGGTTGATCAGAGCTGACTTCCTGTATGAAGTGAGCGCCAGGTGGAGGAATAATGTGACAGAGATGAAGGAAAGAGATGAAAATTTGAGTTTTTAATTGGAGAGACAGCCCAGCAAACAGGTTTTTAAATGGGGGCAAACACATAGGTACTAGAAGACAGGCTAGGCATGGGGTCTACATGGGAAGCTAGGTACTTAGGAACAGGCAGGGATGGTGCGCCCTCCCAAAGTACTCTTCAGCAATGTCTCAGTGATCCCTACCCTACTAACTTAGTGTTAAAGTTCTTTCTTCGGCATCCCCTCCCACAATCCTAGTGGAAGTCCTAAGGCTTTCCTTTCAGCCTTTCTAGGGACACGAGTCTGTTAATTATTCAGAACAGTGGCCTTGGTCCCCAAGTGTGCCTTGCAGTATTTTTATGTTCAGGAAGAAACAGTAGCTCATGTATGAGAAGCTAGGAACTCTGCTGCTATGGCAGTGCTTCAAAGTGTATTTACTTAAATGCTTTCTTTGTAACTCTATCTTTATTTAGTTCGTCTCCCAGACAGTGAAGTGCAGAGTGCTGTCCCCAGTACAATTCTTTTCTTTGGGGTGCTTTCACTGTTTTCAGTCTAAAAACAGACTAGTCTTTTAATTCTAATGCTCAAGACATAAAATGTTGTTGTCTAGCTTTGACTATATGTGTAAATCTACTATCTCGTCTTTGGTGTATGTGTGTCGTTTTTTGTTTTGTTTTGTTTTTTCCTGAAGATCTGTAGATAAAATGTTTCTTTGGATCCCTGTACTGGCCAGCTGTCAAAAATAAGTTTCTTTTGTGACTTCATTTCTGAAACATTATGTTTATCAACTTAATGTCAACTCAAGTGTTAAGCCTTTTTCCCCCTTAAATTAGTGTGAGTCTAACTGAAACTTAACTTCTTAATCCTGGGAAAAAGAGTATTGTTTACCTTCTGGTGTATTCATTACATTTTTAAAAATAAACTTTATTTTGGAATGATTTTAGATTTACAGAAAAGTTGCAGTGGTAGTATACAGAGTTCTTGTATACTCCTCACCCAGTTTCAGTTTATCCCTAATGTTATCTTACATTACCATGGCACTTTTGTCAAAACTAAGAAACCAACTTTAGTACCTTACTATTGAGTGAAAGTCTAGACTTTATTTGGGTTCCACCATCTCCTTTAGAGTGGGGTTGAGAGGACAGCTGGCTAGTACAGGGATCCAAACCCTTGATCCATCTTTTTTTATTTTTTAAGATCCAGTATTTGGAAAGATGATGAAAGCCCTTTTTCTAGGGTCTTTACATCAATGTCCTGCCCTTCAGCACAGATCTGTCATACTCTTTATTAAGGGTCATTTCCAAGCCTGCATAATGTTTGGGTGCAAATGTGTACAATTACACCTCATAAATTATGTGTACCTCTCTCTGCAGATAAAGCTGTTTCACATCAGACACTTCGTTTTTTGTTTTGTTTTGTTTTCTCCCGGATCTCCTGTCATTCAAAAAGTAAATATTAGCATTTGTGAGATCATAGCCCATTATGGTGGAAGTGATTTTCAGACACATCTGAGCTTTTCAGTCCTGCAGTACATTTCATTCCTGGAAGCACATATTAAAAATTCCTAGGTTCCTCCCCTGGAACTTCGGAATCAGTTGAGGTGGGTGGGTTATGCACTTTTTAAAGCTGAGTTTCATAATGGGGTCTATATTTTATAGTTTATCTTTTCTGAATATCTTTCCTTCCTCCCAGTGTGTTTTCCTTGATTTTTCCTGATACCTTACATATATGCATAGTGTGTAGTAGGCAGTCAGTAAATTTATTAAATGCTTGGTCTGGCCCATACTCCCTACCCATGAGGAATGTAGCATGTTAAGACATCCAGATGAAGGGATGATTAAGGGGGACCATGGTACTGTTCTGGAACTTGGGCTCTGGATCCCTGCATTTATACTTCCCTAAACCGGCCAACAAATAGATCATCAGATCACAAGTCTTGCTGTTCAGAGAATGAAATGAGGATTAACAAAAAAGAAGAGCAGAAATGTTTTGGTCTGTTTTGTTTTATTTTGTTTTTAGGTTCTGTTGAGTTATTGACTCTTAAGTCAGGTTAGCTTATTTTCTTCATAGCTTGAGGCCTGTTGTACTGAAAAGAGGAATTAATATGCTAAATGTTCTGTGATGGAATGACTTTTTAATAGCTGTATTTGTGTCTGAGACTTTCCCCTGCCTTTCACATTTTTTTAACCCTTTCCAATGGTTAATTCTGTCTGTCTGGTATGATTCCTTGGAAGCAGCATGTTACCCTTTATCAATTATCACCCTGTATTGGGTTGGGGCAGGGCGGGGGGGGGG